GCTTGGCCGTACATGTTCATATCCTTGAAGATGTATCATGGGGGTGTTGCAACCTAGAAGACACAAATTTGACTAACAAGTTATAAGTACATGAGTTTTAAGTGTCTTGTCCCAGGCCCTTAGCTAGTAATAGAATTGGTATTTAAGCCCATGTAGACTGGTCCATAGCCTGCACTTTTTACTACTATCCCATGTTGCTTACCATACTCAAGATTATTTGATACAATACCTTTTCTGTAATTGTATCTCTTAAAATATTATGTTCTTTGTAATCTTCCTTCTGTGCTTGTGATCTGTAGCCTAATGTGCACCGTAAGTGATTATCAGTGTGTGTCTTTTCTTGTGAACAGTCTGTATCTTGTATTTCATTGTTACAATATTGTTATTATGACTGTATTTATGGTAACACTGGTGGAGCACAGGACAGAGAACACCAAGATCCTTGTCCATCAGAGTCCACGGTTTCCCACCTATTCAAACACGAGAGATCTGTCAGAACACAATGTTAAGGCTAAACACTAAGTAAATATCCAGTTTTTTCCCAGTTTTACTGCCAATGTCATTCTCAGAAAAGATGTAGAAAGCAGAGAAAAAACCCTATAAATGAAATTAATCCTCATATTGTAAGGATGCAAGCTAGAGGAGGGATCAAGCTTCGTGTAAGCCACAGTCAGTTCTGTGCAACAGCAATTTACTCTTTGACTAAGCAATCAAGAATCCTGACTACCCCTTGCATTATATAGGGCAGTTTGAGAAACTAATAGCTGATAGATTTATCTTAAGATGATGTTGGTAGTGGTTTAAATCAGTCACTCAGTGACTACATGTGAAAGAAAAGAGTTGCTAAATAGGGTTTTCTTTTTTCTCCCTCCTCTTCTTATTTATTTTTTTGCTGTTAAGAAATTTGCTTGCTTTTTGATAATCAAATATTGGCAAAGCACAGACAAATAGAACACGTTTATTTATAATTAAGAAATTGAACTACTGAAGGTAGCCCTGGCCTAGTGGCAAGAAGCTGCACTGCAATCGCAGAGGTGCATGGTTCAAATCCACCAGATACACTGCTGGAGAAGGAGGGGCAATCACCTTCTATACCAGTTAGATCCAGTTTGATGGTACACACACACACACACACACACACACACACACACACACAGAAATAAATTTAAATAAAAAAGTAATTGAACTATTGAAACTTGTTCATGGAAACATTTTTACTTTATCTCCCTGTGTTTATATTTAAAAAATTCATACACAAATAAAAGTAGAAAAAAAATGCCAATACCTGATTTCCACCACACTATTTTTCCATTTGAAATCACATACTTAGGTACCTTTTTACTCCATGAGGAAAAAATAACTAACTTTTAGGACTACCAATAACAGGAAGAACACAAGTATTTAAGAATGAAATTTTTTCCTAACATAGGGATTCTTAAAGCATATTATTAAAATACTTGGATTGTGTATCGTCTGGTCAGAATTAACTCATAGCTGACTCTAGCGTGTTTTCTGAGGCACTAATTTTGCACAGGAAGAGGTTGCCCCTCTCTCTCCTATGGAGCAGCTGGTGGATTCCAACCTCGTACCTTTGCATTGTCAGTGCAGTTCCTTGCCACTAAGCCACCAGAGATGCCAGTTGAATTAGAGGGCAATGTTAAATGATACCAGAGACCTGTAACCACCAAAATTCAAGATGCAGGAAATTCTCCATAACTTGTCTCTTAATACATAAAATGTCAAGGAAAAAGTGGGATGAGATAATATAAAGAGTTTATAGACTATAAAAGGCCAGATGGAAAGTATTTTAGGCCTCCAGAATGTGTCATATTTGAAACCTCTGTAGAGTATATTAATGTAAGAGTAGCCATTGAGAGCACTAAAAAATGAGCTTGACTGTGTTCTAATACAACTTTACTTACAAAAGCATACTTAAGCTACATTTGCTGATCTCTAGATTAAAAAGTGCTTAAAGAAAAATTAACCTAGGGAGCTCTGGTGGTCTAGTCGCAAGAAGCTGTGCTGCAATTCTAAAGGCACGCGGTTCGAATCCACCAGATGCTCTGCTGGAGAAGGAGGGGCAGTCGCCTCCTGTGCCAGTCAATCCGATTCAGTGGTACACAACAAGAAAAGAAAAAAACCAACCAAACAAACAAAATTAAAAAAAAAAAAATCAACCAAAGTGTTACATTTTTCTTAGATCCTGACTTTAATGAACCAAATGTGTATATGTATACCCGTAAATACTGTGTGTATGTATATATGCATGTGCATTCTGAAATTTTAATACAGACTCAACATTTAATAATTTTAAGTAATTATTTTAGGAATGACAATCCTATTTAAAAGAAAACTTTATTGTTCAGAGATACATAACAGTGTTTACAGATGAAATAATGATTGAAGTTTTATTTAAAATTTAATGAGCGTGAGCATGAGCCTAAAAATGACAAATTATGGATCTAAATTTCAAAGTCTGATTCTGTTAAGACATTAAGATAGTTTTTAAAGAATATTGTAATTTGGATTGAATGAACAAAAATTGTCAAATTTATCTTTTTCCTACTTTTGTGTAGCTGGTATTTTTAGAAATATCTTATGTATAAACATATTGCAATTTCTTTACTAATAAATATGTTATTATTTTAAGTAGTCTGTAATCTGGGGTCAGCAAACTCTAGCTCATCATTTTGCTTATGTAAACATAGTTTTCATTAGAACACGACATACATGTTCAGTTCATACTGTTTCATGGTTGCTTTTGCACAACAGTGGCAGAATTGAATATTTGCATACAGACATTCCACAAAGCCTAAAATAATTACTGTCTGGCCCTTTACAGAAGAAGTTTGCTGACCCCTCGTCTAGGGCACAGATGTAACTTCTCATCTCATATGATCGATGTTTTGCCACAAAGTAGGTACTGGTTTTCTCAGCATGTGTTTTTGTTCTGATATTTTATGTCAGAGAGCAGTTCTGAAATCCAAACCACCTGGAGATGTATATATTCCTTTGTAGATTTCAAAAGACTCATCTTTGCCTTCCTAATATGGAAGCTATTTTTAGTAACATGTGACTAAACATTTACCTATCCTAAACCCTCTCTTCAACTCTATTTCTTTCAAAATATTTTCTTTCATTCTCCCTCTCTTAGTTCACACTTCTTACCTTAGTAGAGACATAAAGTCTCATTATTGAAAATTGACTACTGTTGCATTCTTAAAGATGTATTCTTTTATTAAAGATATATTCTTTTTATGTATTTGTATGCTTAATAAATGTTTGATTACTAACATTTCAGAGACCTTACAATGTCTTGAGAGTTTCAAATCACATTTTAAAATGAAAATTACAAGTGTTCTATTTATGTTCATGAAGGTTTTTAACATGTGGAACTAAACTACTATATCTTTGGACTTCATCTCATGCAAATCCTATTCCTGGAACAGTACCTAAAAAAGGATATGTAATGGAAAGGATAGTGCTACAGGTAATACTGTTACTTGATTCATGGGAAGGTTTCAATTTCTTCATCATCAAAAGTATATATATACACACACATATGTGCACACTACATACTTTAAGCCTCATTGACTTTAGGCTCTGGATTTATTACTTAAATGCCAGTAAGCCATTTCCTATTTGTATACACAGTAAAAGAATTTTAAAATAAACTAGTACAGTAACTTAAAAAGGCACTTGTATCCATTCAGAACTATTTATCAACAATAATAATTGCTTTTGAAAAAATGAGAAGAAACAGATTAATGTGGACTATGCATCTGTAATTTAATTAACATCTGTGAAAATTTTTAAGGTTGACTTTCCTTCTCCTCCATTCGATATCCTTTATACTACTCCTCAAGTTGACAGAAGCATTATTCAGCAGCAAAATTTAGAAACACTGGACAGTGATATAAAGGGAAAACTTCTTGACATTCTTCACAGAGACTCCTCATTTGGGTATGCAACATTTATTCCATTTTTTTCTTGCTATCTCTTAAAATGTAAAACTCATGGGCTTGTATTAAATGTAATTTAGCAGTTCTCTTCTTGTGAGAAGTATTCTATCTGGTTAATTTTTTTCTTGTAAAATGACTATGAGATGACATAAAAATGTAGAAATTTGTATAAATAGAACATTTTATGTAAAGGAAAGATGAACAGCAGACTGGGAACTTTATTTACAGTAAATATCAATAGGTTAATTTCTTTGCAAAAATAATTTTATATATGTGTGTTTTATATATATATATATATATATATGAGATAAAGAACAGCAGGTTAGTATTTAAATAGACAAAGTGAACATGCAATTCTTTGAAAAGGAAATACACCAATTTTTAAATATATGAAAATACGTTCAACCTCTCAAATAGTTAAAGAGATATAAATATGTTACTATTTTGCATACATTAAGTTTACAAAAATTAAAATGTCTTGTATAAATCCTTAATAAAATAAAAAAAATGGAGATTCTGCTGTTTGTGGAGTAAAATGATACAACTCCTTGGACAACAATTTGTTGAAATCTATATGTCACAATATACATTTTCTGTGATGCAGCAATTCTGAGTGTATATATTGGGGAAACCATTTTATGCTTTCTAATGAACCAAGAATATTCATTGCAGTACTTGTTTGAATTTTTTTTAAAAACTGACTGAAAAAAATCTCATCATTAGGAGTTAAATTTTGATACATTTTTGCCAATGAAATAATATGTAGTTATTAAGAGTGAGACTAGTTAGTTATATGTACTGAAATGAAAGATGTGTTAAATGAGGAAAGCTAAAAATAAGAGATTAATGTAAAGAAAAGAAAGACCATCTACAGACACCTGTATGTGTGCTCCTGTATAAACTATCTGGAAGAATTCATAAACTTAGATTACCTTAAGGAAAGGGAAGTGGAGGGGGAGGGACTTCACTGTACACTTTTTAATAATATTTGTTTTTTTACTAAGTACATGTATTATGTAGTCAAAAGTGAATGGCTGGATAGTAAAATAGAGAAATATTTTATTGATAAAAGCGTTTGTTATCAAGCTTAAAGTAAATAGAACAGTGAAAACAAGTACTATTCCTCTTAGATAGTCTTCAATTGGATTACATAATCATCTCCCAAAATTTAACAATAGCATTTGATTTTTTGCATGGCATATCATATCCTCTTACTGTTGAGTCAATTCCAAGTTCTAACAGTCTTTTAGAACAGAATACAGCCACCCATACACATTTTCAAGGCTAGAATCTTTATAGAAGCAGATTGCTGCATTAGCCAAGTGCTACCAGAGCTTCCTTGGCATTTTATATTTTTTGTGAAATGGATGTAATACTTTTCTTTATCATGACGTGTTTTGTTTATTTAACTCTGTACCTAGTATACTGCTCGATTTTTTTTTCACTAAAGTATCCCTAGTTTTCATAACTATAGGGCAGTTATCAAAGCAGAATGATTTCTTCCCCTCCACAGTATATAGATAAATTTGCAGAATTTACTGATTATTGTATTTTTCTGTTCAAAATTAGTATTAATGGGCCTCCTAAACTGAATACTTTTCTTCTTTGTAATTTTAATCATTGTGATTGTAATAACTGTGTCATTAAATCACCAAAAAGTAATTTAATACTATTGTGCATGCAGACTTTCTAAAGAAGATAAAGCCTTTTTGTGGGAGAAACGTTATTACTGTCTCAACCATCCAGATTGTCTTCCTAAAATACTAGCAAGTGCCCCAAACTGGAAATGGGTTAATCTTGCCAAAACTTACTCACTTCTTCAACAGTGGCCTCCATTGCACCCACTGAGTGCATTAGAACTTCTTGATTCAAAGTAAGTCAACTGGCTACATGCATGTTCTATTTTTTTGTTGTCAACTTTTCAAATGTAATGTTGTAGGAGTAATACATCATTCAATCTAAATGTATACTTGTGTTGTTGTTGTTGTTATGTGCCGTCGAGTCGCCTGCGACTCATAGCGACCCTATGTACAACAGCCCTAAACTCCGCTCTGTCCTGTGCCAATCGCACTG